ATTATGGATAAAAAGGCACCACACATGGGATTTGTTTCAAGGTAACTGGAGAGGAAAAGAACAGTGGGCATAGGGACAAACAAGGCTCACCGTGAAATTGATGGATGCTGACGGTGGGTCGTGGGTCCGGGGAATCCACTCCACTATCCTGTCTGCATGTGTAGATATGTGAAATGTTCCATGATAAAAACTTTTAAAAAGCAAGTTAAAACAAATATGATTTAAAATTAAAAAGTGAACCTCACAAATTCAAACTGCATGTGGCCTCACTGTGAATACCCTCGTATGCCCGGTCAGCAGGGTTAGTCAAGCACTTTCCACTGCAGATGAAAGCATAGAAAGCCATTGCTTCCCTTTGTCCTGTGGGGAAGATGGAAGGGGAAGCTGCCTGGATATAGAGGTTGAGAAGCTGTAGCACACTCTGTCCATCTGACCACCCTCAAATTAAGATGCTCTGGTCTCCAGGGGTGCACTGGAAACCATGGGTCCCAGGGGCTACACACACATCTGTACTCCAGCCTCGCTAGCTAGCTCTACCACCCACCTGGAGCTGGCTTTCTCTGGCATTAATCATCCACATGGACCTTTGTAGCCACAAGGATATTAGGAAATGTATGCATATGGTGCACCCGTGAGAGACTATAGCAAGGCAGTATGGGGGAGTGGAGGGGGAATTTCACGCAACAATGCCAAGGGAGAATCCAAAGGATTTATCAGATGATCAAATATGGAGAGAGAGGAAAGGAGAAGAACCCAGTGCCAGGCAGTTTATATCTTTTGTCTTCTCCATTTGTCGCCAACTGGAGAGTGGACAGCTGCCACTTTGCTTGTTCTTCTGTTAATAACACTTAGTCCATGCGATTCAGATAGGACTGACCTCTGCTGCTCCCAAACAGTTTCAGGGCTAGGCAGGTAAAACAGGCCTGGCAAATCAAACTCAAGTTTCTTGGACCTGAGACAAGTAACCTGAAATTTTAATTTAAACTACTTGAGCAAAAATGTTCTCCCTCACTGGGTTTGCTAAAAGGGTGGAAAGTCAGCCTGATGCTCTGAGCTGTCACACAGAGGGAACCGTACTGAAAGGAGCTTGTGTGGAGGAAAGTAGAGGGGAAAGGCGAAGGGCAGCTTCAGCAGTGGAGCATCAGGATCAAGCCTTTTTCAAGCCATTTCTATCCCTGGGTTTTTTACTTCTAAACAAATCAGATCCATCACTTTTCCTTAGCTAAGTATAAGTTGGGGTTTTGTTGCTTGCAACTAAGATTCTCCTATTATAACAATCTTGTAAGGTAAATGTTATTAACCCCAACCCACTGATGAGGAAAATCTGAGGAGTTAGTTAAGTTGTTTAAAATCATGCAAAAAAGTCAAAACTGGGTATCCTCTGCCCTTTACGCCTTCTCTCCTTCCTTCCTCCTTCTCTCCCTCCCTCCCCTCCGTTCCTTCCTTCCTTGCTTCATTTCTTCTCTTTTCTCTTTCCTCACTCATCCTTTATTGGGAAGAGTTTAAGAAAAGATTTTTGTGCGCACTGAGGTTTTACAATAAGAAACAGTCTCAGCATTAGCCAGGGAAAGAGTTCTCTTGTAGACACTTAAATTTTAAAATTTGAAAGGTTTAAAGCCCCCTCCAGCTCTGCCTAAGACTCCAGGACCTAATCTGGCAAACACCCCACTGCCACACATGTTCACACCACTGTCCCATAATCCTGGACCCTGAGGTAGAGGTTAGGGGCTGAAGGAATGGTAGAATAGCAGTAGGTCCAAGTAGATGAAGACTGTGGAGATAGAAGCTATGGTGATTTTTGAATATTTTGGCAAATTCTTCAACATACCTTACTTCAAAAGGTGGAGCCTCATGTCCGTTGAATGTGGACTGGTGGGAGATGTGATGTATGTGACTTCTGAGGTGAGGTCATGAAAGGACACAGCTTTCTCCTTGCTCTCTCCTTTGGACCATGTTATGGTTTGTGTCTACATGTCCCCCTAAATCCTCATGCAGTCATGGGGTGGGCTTCTAGAGTTTATGATCCATCCATGGTCTAATGATGGGATTATGGGTGTGAGTGCTACACCTCCCCTGGGGTGGGCAGTTTGCTTACAATGTAAGGAAGAGAAAGAGCCTGCTTACTGCCACTCCTCCCTTTTGCTCTTGCTGCTTTTGCTGTCTTTCACCTCCATGAAGAGTTGCCCTGTGCCATGTGCCACTCTGCCTTGGAACCAGCTGAGTATGGACTGAAGCCTCCACAAACTGTGAGCTAAATAAACCTTTCCTTCTTTAATTCTAGGTGTAGGGTATTTTGTCTCAGCAATGAGAGAAAAGTAACCAAGACAGACCACTTGGTCAGCAGGGGTCATGTCTTGAGGCCTCTTGTAGCCCTGTGGAAAGATCTCCATGAAAGCAACTAAGGCCTCTCCCCAGCACTCTCTGAGCAACCTCTAAAGCAGATGGTCAAACAGAAGGAAATTTTTGCAGATAAGAAAGAGGGCCAGGAGGAAGGGAGGGTCAGAGAAGAGGAGGTCTTGGGGATGAAGATAATCAAATTGTGTTATATGCATGTACTGATACACCAGAATGAACCTCAGCATTTTGTATTACTGATGTACACTAATTTTTAAAAAGCAGATCTAGTTCAGTGGAGCTGCTTTCAGATTGCTCACCCATAGAACTATGAGATCATACATGTTTATATTGTTTTAAATTGCTGTTTTAGGAAAATTTGTTACACAGCAGTAACTGACACACAACTCCTAACAGATGATCAGGGTGGCCTTTGAGTGGGTTAATAGTATCTTCCTGAGAACACAGAGGGACTTCTATGCCAGGTCTCCTGGGCCCCAAGTGTGTGCCTTATCAGCTGGCAGCAAGACTTCCTTTCTTCTTTATAGGGCTCTATGGGCAGAGTGGAGAGGCAGCCCTGGGATTGGTACCTCTCCACAAACTGTGTGTCCCTTCCATGAAGCTACATTTCAAACTGAATGCCAAGGAGCTAGAAAAAGAGGCTATTCTAGGTGACACAGAAGAAAGTGCAAACAAAATTCACCTATTTTCTTGAATCAGAGAGAGGTCAAGAATTGAGAGAAAGAAGAAGATGGTGGCTTTCCTATTAATTTCATTATTTAAAACCCAACGGAAATGTGATTAAGGTAGGGATTGAGATGAGGTCACACTAGGTAAGAGTGGGCTCTAGATCCAACAAGACTGTCCTTACAGAAGACTGTACAGGACACAAGCAGAAGGTAATTTGAAATGAAGGTAAGAACTGGAGTAATGTGTTCCCGAGATCGTTGCCAAGCACAAGAAACTAGGAGAGAGGCACTGAATGAAAGATTTTCCCCCTGGCCTCCAGAAAGGATCAAGCCAGACCTGGATGTTTTACTTTTGGCTTCTTAAACTAAGTGAATACATTCCTGGCAGGGGTGAGGGGTTGTTTGTTTGTTTGGTGCCAAGAATCAAACTCAGACCTTGTGTTTGCCAAGCAGGCACTTGTGCCGCTGAGCTATATCCCTGGCCCATTCCTGGTGTTCTAAACCAAACAAAAACACACCAATAAACTAAATAAGCACATGGAAGAATATCAGATAACAAATTAGAATGGCATTAGGGAGCTGAGGTATCCTCCTTGCCCATACCCAGTGTCTTTCATTCCCTTGTGGCTGTATATCTGATCATCTGCTAGTGCCAGGCCCATGCTGGCCACCCACACAGGACATGCTACACCAAAGCCAGGGCTGTGTCCCAGATGAATGTAGCTACAGGAACCTAATGTGTATAGGGAACAAGGCAGGTACAGGAATGTAGAGGACCCTTGCAAGCTAGGAAGACTTCGGAAAGGAGAGGTGGGAAGGAATTTCTAGCAAGCACAAGTATGCAACCCCAGGAAAAGCATATGGTGCTGGTCCCTTATGGGGTGAAGGTGGGGATTACTTCTAAGAAGGAAAGAATATTTAAACATTTTTCTTCTAAAGAATCTGAAGTGGGCAATACCTTACTCAGCAGAGCTAACCTGAGACTCCCCTTCACCTCTGAGGTACTGGGACAATGATTGGGGAAGGAGTTTTAGAAAACACCTGAGCCCATTGTGACACTTCAGTTCCTGTCAGACAGCGCCTACCCTCCAGATTCTGATGTTTGGGCCCCTCCCAGTCCTTCCCTGAAGCTTCTGAACACATTTTCTGCTTGAGCCAGATTTCTCTGCTGAAGTGAAGACTCTATGGTTATTCCTGCACTGTCAATTTCCTTAACATCCCCCACCCCCTGTGAAAAATGCTGGGTCTTTTGCTTCCTAACAAATTCTTATGAATTTACACCAAAAGTGCCTTCTCCAAAAAGCCTTCCTCAACAGACTCTTTCCTAACTGTTCCACTCTATCTGGATTGGCTTGGTGCTGCTGGGATATTGGCGGGGCAGGGTCAAGTCAGGTATGCGTCCCAGCAGCTCCTTATCTCTGACCCCTTTGATCGCCACATGGCTCCTGCCCGACGTCCTCCAGCAGGGAAGCACTTGTGGCATATTGTTCTCCCCTCGCCCTTGTTTCATCCTGTGTGCTCTGAGGTACTGGGCACTGGACTGCACACACAAGTTAATTAATAGCCTGAACTTCACACACCATGGTTATTACCCGACTTCGTCCACGCTGTCATTTATGGCCCTTCGAGGAAGACTTCAGGCCATGTTAAGAAATCTTCCTGCCACGCAGTAATAGGAGGGAACCTTTGGCCCACAGAGAAGCCACCTGTGAGAGGATGCCGTCCTTCAGATGAGGTGGGCATTGCATCACCCAAGGGGGTATTAAGATAAAGTCTGAGGATGTCTTAAGAAAAATCTCTGCAATTATGCACTTTGGGACTTTCTCTGTTTTATAGCCCTAATTGATAGCCTTCAAGGTTCCTGTAATCAACCACAAACTTCTTTCCCCAAGCCCTATTTTTAAAGACTCAGCTAAAGGCTCTACCTAAGCAAGATGTGTTTCCATCAGCATTGGGTAACTTTTTCTGCCTAATATTACCTCATTAAAAAACACCATTGTTTTTGTGGTCCATCACCTCCCTGAAAAAAAAAAAAAAAACTTGTGGATCAAACTGTAAATCAAAATTTAAGTGGAGGCTTAGGAATGTAGTTCAGTGGTAGAGCACTTACCTAGCCTGTGTGAGGCTCTGGGTTCAGTCCCCAGCACTGCAAAAACAAAAATGAAATAAAATCCACATTCACTAGCAAAATGATTAGAAATTGATTTAAGAAAAAAGTAGGTATTTATGTATCTAAAAAAGAACTCATATCTAAAATAAATAACTAAAGTCAAAAGGAGGAAAACAAATAATGCAAGTAGAAAATGGTCAAAAGACTTGAGTGGACAGTTCACCAGTGAAAGTAGGACAACAAATAACAACGTTAAAAGATATTCAATATCATTATCCACTGGGAAAACTGAAATTAAAAACACTATGTCATAGTACTACATACTTATTAGAAGGGCTAAAATTTAAATAGTAAATGCTAGCAATGTAAAACAATAGGCCCATTCTGGAAATAAGTCTAGAAGTTTCTTAAAATACTAAACACATCATACAACCCAGCAATCAGAAACCTAGATATTTTTTCAGAGAAATAAAACCTTACATTTGGGAAAAAACCTGTGCGTTAATGCTCGTAGCCACTTTATTTGTAAGAACTCAAAACCAAAAACAATCCAAATGTCCTTCAACAAGTAAAAGGTTGAAAAAACTGTGATATATCCTTACAATGGATCATTGCTCAGCAATTAAAAGAACAATGTATGGATACTTAGAACCATTTGGGTGGGTATTAGGGCATTATGTAAAGTGACAAAAGCAATATCAAAGAGTATATACTATATGATCCATTTCTGTGACATTATCTAAATGACAAAACTGTAGAGAAAAGACACATCAGTGGGTGTCAGGACTGGGGGAAGGGGGAAGGGTGTGGCTTGAAGGAGCCAGCAGAGGGTGTGAGAGAGTGTAGGAGAGCCCCTCTATGGGCACAGAACGTGTAATTATGGTAGTCGTTATGAGAATCTATTCATGTGATCAAATATCATTAAATTCTACACAAAGACATACAAAAATGAGAACATGCAAAAAATTGGTAGAATCTCAGACCTTTAGTGTAGTTATTGTCTTAATTGTTCCAATTAATTTCCTGGTTTTGATAATGCTTCCTAGGCACTCAGGACGTCACCATCAGGGGAAGACAGATGGTGGCACACGGACCTTGTCTTACCACTTTGGCACCTCTCTGTGAGCCTATAATTATTTCAAAATAAAAAGGTTTTAAAATATCAGTTTTTAAAATTAAATTCTAAGGAAAATGATTAAAACAGGGCTCAGAGGATAAATTTATAACCTTAAATATTTACTATTACTTATATATGGGAAATAGTTGAATGAAGATTTTAAGTTAGAAAAGGAATAAAAGCTAGGATAGTTGTACTAATGACTTCTATTGCTTTATTGAGAGGGTGGGTATTAGGGCATTATGTAAAGTGACAAAAGTGATATCAAAGAGTATATACTATATGATCCATTTCTGTGACATTATCTAAATGACAAAACTGTTAGTTAGTGTTTAATTGTTTGATCAATCTTACATGCCTATATTTGTTTATCTGAGTAACCAATTTGAAGATATCAATATGTAATACAACCACCATTGTTCAGTTCCTATCACCTTGTCTGAAATTCTGTATTGCTTGTATTGTTTTGTGTTATTTCATAAATGTATGTGTGTTTGTTAATGTTTTTGTTCTTTTATCTTTAAAATAAAAAAAGAAAAGAGTTTAAAAAGCCTAAAAGTAATAGGAAGAAGAGAGTTTTAAAGCAAAAATGTATTAATTAATGCATTTAATTAAATTAATGATCTTGAAAATAGTAAAAGAGAACAAACCCAAGAGTTGAATCTATAAAAATAAAGTAGAGAAACCACTAGCTAATCAAATCAAGACACCATGAGAAAGCATAAGTATACAAAATCAAAATCAGAGTGGAGAAAACTACTGATACAGAGAACATAAAACTGATCACAATTATTCCTCTAAGAAGTGAAAGGATTTCAAGTAAAATATGAAAGATAAAAACTGATTCCAGAATAGGCAGAAAATCTAGAAAACAATTGCCTTGGCTAAAATTGGGAATGTTGTCAAAGAACTAACTTTTTTCATCAAAGTGCCAGGCCCAGATGTTTCAGAGGAAAATTTTTATCAACTCTTCAAGGAACAAATAACATAATTGCATTTTTTTTGCTCTCAAGGTTTTCTCCTCATCTCTTTCTCTGTGTCTCTCTGTCTCTCTGTCTCTATCTCTGTCTGTCTGTCTCTCTCACCTTTATTACTTTTTATGTTTGTAATCTCATTTCCTACCCTTCCATAAAGAACCATTTTAGTAGGTGTAGTGTTAACTTTTTTTTTGCAAAATATGCATTGTTTTGTAGTACTACATATCTGTTTTGAAACAGGCTCTCATTAAGTCACTAAACTGTCCAGGCTGTGCTCAAATTTGTGATCTTCCTGCCTCAGCCTCCCAGTGCTGTGATTACAGGCACAGCTAGCACGCTTGACATACATTTTTAAGTTATATAAATGGATTTATATTATATTGTGCTGTTTCCCACCTTTTTTGCTCCATTTATTATTTATTCTTTTTAATCCATTCATGTTTTCTGTATACATGTAATTAATTGTTTCTAGTTCCAGCATACAATTTTATGGTAAGACATCTACTACCTTTCATATCTCTGTCTTTCCAGGAGTGGATACACAAGTTTCCTATAACATTCCTGTATGATCCTCTCATGGATGTAAGTGAAAGTTGCTTCAGGATATGCACTTGGGAAGAGAAATGTGACTTAATGTCCTTGAATGTGTCTGTTGTGCTCAAGGAGGACTGTTTCATCTATACATCAAGCTACTGTATACTTCCACCTCCTGGCATTATTGAACTTTCTACCTGTGGCTGATTTAATGTAAAGTAACATTTCATTATCATCTGATTCACATCTCCAACTTCTAATGAGTTTACACACCAGATCATATATATCCTTGTTAGAAATCTGAGCTTTGTTTTCTGTTCTAGTACCACTGCTAGTAAGTGCTTCACTTATTTTTAAAGCTAGGTTTGCTATCTTTTTCCTAACTTGCAATAATTCCTTGTATATTCTAGATATTATTTACTTATTGGCTTGTTGGTTTTATTGCAATTGTCTTCTCCCATTCTGTTATAAATTAACCTTTTCAATTATATCCTCTGTTGAATACAAATCCTTAATTTATATGTAATATTTTTGCTTCATGGTTCTTCTTATGGAATGTCTTCCCCTATTTGATCATTTTATGTGTCCCTTAATAAAGGTTTTAAGGTTTCTCCATAGAGAGCCTGTGTTTTTGCTTCTGGTAATTCCTACACTCTGTAGATTTTTTGCTTTGTGAATAGTTTCTTCTTTTTAAACAATATGTTTTTAATAAGTTATGGCTGCATGAAGTAATGCTATTACATTTTACAGGTTGTCCTTATATCTGGCAAACATTCTGAATTGCCTTATTAATTTTGATTGGGGGTTGATTCTGATTTTTCCAGGTAAATAATAATATAGCCTCAAGTAATGATAATGGTAAGTCTTCACTTAGACACTCCTTCTGTAAAATAACATATAAAAGAGAGAAAAAGAAGACAAACTTCTAATTTCTTTTTATAAGCCACTATAATAAAATCTTATTCATAAATGTACATACAAATATCCCCAAAAAACCACAAATATTCCAAACAAAATTCAAATATGATCAAGTAATACATTTTAAAAATGCAACAATTTTAATTATGGTAATTTTCCCAGAATCTAAGGACATTCCCAACTGTTTCATCATATTATTAAGTCAAAGGAGAAAATCAGGGGGGGATGACGGCTCAAACCGGTAATCCCAGCACTAGGGAGGCTGAGGTAGGAAGATTGCTGCAAGTTCGAGGCCAGCCTGGATTACATAATGAGTTCAAGGCCAACCTGAACTATATAGCAAGACCCTGTCTCAAAAAAGAAAAAAAAAGGGGGGGAGTGGAATCTTATGATGTTGAACATCTAGTCTCACTAAAAAAATACATAATTTAAAAATAAAAGCTTAGCAAAATAGATATGGATGTCTAATCTTCTTAACATGATGCATTAGATGAAAAACTGACTAGTCTATTGGCAAAACATTAACAGCGTGTCTACTAAAATCAAGGCAAAACAAGAATGTCCTTTGCTATTGTTATTACTTATACGTTTCTGGAAGGATTAGCCATTCCTGTTGGATAAACGAAAACAGTCAGAGTGTAACAACTGGAAATAAAGAGGGAACTTCATTATTTGTAGATGATATGGTTGTATACATGAGTAGTGGTCTCAGGAAACCATTGTTTCTCAACCAATAAGTGTTCTGGAAATCCTGATTCAGTCCACCGCTGTGCTCTGAAGGTTGCTTATGTGATTCTATAACAGGTGCCCCTACCCTAGAGCCACTCTTTCAAAAGGCCAGTATGTGAGAAGTAACTGTTTTTATAAGACTCTGAGATCATCTTTCTAGAAGATATGAATATGAACTCTGGCACGTAGATTATGGGTGAGATTGCAGCAAACTTTGGTGTTAAACAAGAACTATTTACAAATTTCAGGGCTGTAGTTATCTTCTTACTGAAAATTCTCAAAGTAAAAAGACTGATGCAAGTACCTAAGAGTAATGCAACTGACAAGGACAGCTGATTGGTTTCCTGGTAGCATCCAAAACAAGAGAATAAAACCATTTGCCACAAAATAAATAAATAAAAACAAAAAAGTGCTTGTTAGATAATGATTAAGTCTACTTTCTATGATGTTAGTGAATATCGTTTCCAGTTTATACATCTTTTTGGATACTTTTTGTTTTAAAGAGAATAAAAAATAAAAAAACATGAAAAACTATAAGGAATTTCAAAACAAGATGATCGGAGAGCAACAATAATTGTTATATTGCATATTGTTATCTTCAGAGTAGTTGTTCAGAGTACCAGATATTGGCATGAAAAACTAATCAAAAGAAAAAAAATTAAGCATTAATTGTTCCTCCCAATAAAACAACAAAAACTAGTAGTACAATTATCTCAGCTATCTTGTGTGTGTATATATATTTTTCCCTTTCTTCTTTCTTTCTTTTTTTCTTTCTCTCATCCAGTTTATAAATTTGAATGTGTTTTATAGTAGAAATGTCTTGAGTTATATCACAAAAGTCCTTGAATATACCATGTACACAGTATACTAAGAATATCAAATGAAACAATTAAGTACATCTGGAATAGGGCTTAGACACCTCTTTTTTTTTTTTTTGGTTTTTCTCCGGTTCCGGGAACCGAACTCACGACCTTGCGCTAGCCAGGCAGGCGCTTTTGCCGCTGAGCTAAATCCCCAGCCCTGACACCTCTACTTTTATAAAATCTCATCAGAAAGTCTGATATGCATATAATTGACTTGACTTCTTAAAAAAGAAAAGAGTTATAGCCAATTAAGATTTTAAACAATAATATATTTTTGTTTTATATCATTAGACAAAAATACTAAGGCTCAGGAAAATTCAAAAGAACCATTTTTGAAGACCTTTAATCAGTCTTTTCTTAAAATTAAAACATACAAAAGTGAGGCAGAGGCAAATCTGCAGGGACTTCCTACAAGTTGTGAAGTTTCTGAGGAATTTATATTAATAACATCTCAGCCGCACAAATCCAATCTAAGAAAAACAGTATCTCTTCTGATTTGACAGCTCTGCCCATGCCACCCACCAAATTTAATTCTTTCTAGCATATCTCTCCTCCTCTCTCCTCTCTCTTCTTGGTGGTGGTGGTGGTGGTGGAGTGCTAGAGATTAAACTCAGGGCCTTCTCATTAAACTACATCCCCAGCTTTTGTTTAATTCTTTATTTTGAAACAGAATCTCACTTACTAAATTGCTAAATTGCCCACACTAAGCTCACATTTTTGATCCTCCTGCCTCAGCCTCCCAGAGTGCTGGAATTACAGGCATGTGCCAGCACACCTGCCTCCAGCATCCTTTCTATAGGTAGAAGAATAAATCTGTGATTTTCCAGGAACCCTCTGGGAAATTCAAAGACTCTCTCAGGTATGAAAAATATCCTGCAGGCTTTCATTTTTTTTTTTCTATATTTCTTATCTGATTTTGGAAAGCAAAAATCAAAAGGATTGCTGCAGATTTGGGCACTTGATTACAATAGGCACTGGGTGCCTGAGAAACAATATTTAGTTGCCTAGTGGATCAAAGCAATAATGACACACTTAACAATGAATGCAGAAGGTGAAGAGATTGAGAAGAACCATAACACTTTCACAAGTGAGGAACGTTCTTTCTCCTCCTTCTCCTCCTTCTCCTCCTTTCTCTTCCCCGTTTCCTTTCTCTCCTTCTGTTTCTTCTTCTCTTTCTCCTTCTTCATAATTAAGAACATTAAGTTAATATATAAAATTATTCAGGGCAGTCAAAGAGTAGTAGCTTCTCTGCAGATTACACAGATAGTAAATAGGTAATCAACTATCCTGGTTTACCCAGGACTGTCTCAGTATTAGCACTGAAGTTTTGAATCCAAGAAATCCTCAGTCCTTCAATCCTTATTTCCCTGAATAAGAAAGCCTGGTCACCTCAGAGAGACTAACCATTCATATTGTTGGTGAAAGTGTTAATTAATAAACAAAGGGAACAAGCCTATCTAGACTAAGTAAACTTTGCAGAAATGTTAACACCTTCAGCAGCTTGTCATATTATGCTTTTCAAACTTAATGTTATAAACCAGGCAAGTAAAATTCACTTTTCAAGCTTGTCCCTTGTGATGCTATTTTATATCTGGTGGCACTTTAATTTTAATACAGATCTTGGTGGGCAAAGCACAAGTTCAAAACAAATTTCATGATAATATTATATTTAAGCCAGCATGTTGTACATTCATCATTGCCACCCACAAATAAATAATTATTTTAAATATTTAAGAGTTTTGGATTTTAATGCAGTAAACATGAATACTTGTAACCATATAAACACAGTAAGTCCTCAATAAGTGTAAAGTGGTCTGAACAACAACAAAAACTCAAGAACTTCTGTTTGTGGAAGAGCAAAAGCATATGTGTTTTCCCATCACAATGGTTCCCACTGCACTTGCACCCACACACGGCCTTTATAACTTTTAACTGAAGTAATCAGCTTTTATTTTACGGAGAATAGTTGAGTGACTAATTAAGAACTTTATGTTGGACTGAAGCATTTTAGTAGATTAATGAAGCTTGTAATACAACTTCTTACCATCGCACGTATCCCTGTGTATAAAAATGAAGACTTTCATTAGTTTGAATCATTGCTGCAGCTTCTCGATGGCATATAAAAATAAATAAATTTATGTTTAACAATTAATGTGTCCGTATTCTAGTCTACTTGGAAAGCACCTAGTAATCCCTTGGTTATACACTAAATAATTTAATTTAATATCAATTCAAGGTTTTAGTTACCTAAAGATCTTAGAAGTTATCTTCCAGCCAACATATTTCAAGACATAATTACTGTTGAAATAAAAAGGTTTTCAGAGTAATTGTTTAGTTTAGCTGAACAGAAATTTTCTGGTGGAGCCCAGACAGGGACACCACCAGTTCATATGAGCACACCTGAAGTGGGTTGCATTTTGGTTAGGTCACAGAGGATGTCAGTGTGTCACAGAGGACACATCAATAAGTCACAAGCCTTCCATTTCTCTGACCCACCTTCTCCAAAGCCTGCCAAAAACTGCTGTGAAAAAAGCCTCTTACCCTGCAACAGACATCTTCTCTTCTCTGCTCACACAGAGAGGTCCCTCTCAGGTTTAGCAATAAACCTGCTTGGACTGTTCAATCCATGTCCCTCTTTCCCACTCAGAGTTAGCTTCAGAAAGAATAATTTTTAGCACATTAGAGAATCAGGAGTTTAATTCTCCTGCATGTTAGGAATTTTATGCCAGTGTTGGAGACCACTACAAAATGGCTTTCAGCAGAATTTAATATTAAGCAATTGGCTTTCCACATTTACTTGTGAGTTGTCTGAAGCTTAGGCACCTTGTGTATGGATGGGCATTGGACTCATAGTAAGTAAACCTCTGTGAGTCACTGGTCACCCTGAGCCCTGCATTGGCCTGTGAAGCTGTGATGCCTCACAGGACAAGATAAGGCCACAGCTGAGGACATCTGGCTCCAACCCCAATTAACTAAAAGGAAACTATAATGCAGGCATCTCACTCCTGTGGTGAAGGCCTTCCTGGAGATAACATAGTTCTCCTAGATTAACATAATGTATTACTTGGAGAAGTCCTTAAAGAGTTTCCTAAGTGCTGCTCAGATTCCAGTATTTTCCTGAGTATCCCCCGCTTTGTTTGTAAACCAAATAAATACAGGCTGCCCAGAGAAGTCTTGGTCAAAATCCAGAGAATATTGAATGCTCTAAGAGAGTTCATCCCTCCTGGAGCCCTTAAATAATTTCTCATTGTCTATATTTGTCTTATTTATTTAAGCCTTCGCCGTCCCCTCACTTGGGAGACTGTGGGCCTGAACAGCCCGCAATAACTAAGGGTTATTTAACCCGATATGCCAGCATTTATTTTCTAAACCAATTTAAAAGAGCTCTTTTAATATAAAAGACTTTGCAATCTAATCTATCTATGGCCTCCAGAAATACAAATGTATACTCACATATTGAGGGATAATGCACTTTTCTACTTGTAGGTAAAGAGCCTGTAGATTCCAGTTTAACCACAAGTTGAATGATATAAAAGACACAAAATATATAAGCAAAACCAAAAAATTTCACCCTTTCAGATACCAGAGATGTTCTTCCTAGTGCATGAGAATTTCAACTAACTTGTGTTTAAAAGTTAATGCATGTGCAAATAAACAAAACAAAACAGGTTAGAACCATACTCTCTGTCATCTCTGAGTCAATAGGGAATACTGTAGGCATAGATCATTCAGTTACATGATCAGACCACGTTGCCAGATTCTCAGTCATTGCTCTCTCCAAGGAGGTACAACTTATTGGCTGAAAATGAGTCAAAAGTAGGAAGAGGGGAAAATCCAGAGAAAATAAGTTGGTAAGTTCTATCGCCATTCCAGATCAATTCTAGAAGCCAAGAAAAAGCACCTGCTTGAGCTGTTCATGAGGTGCACCCTGGGTGTAGTTTACCTGGCTCTATCAGGTGAATCTCTCATGTAACTCATAAGCATTAAAAAAATCACAATTCTTATACAAACTGAATACTTTCCAAAGATTTTTAATTAACTCATTAATTATTGAGGAAACCAGTAAGTTGAAATGATTGATTCAAATGAAGACTTGCTGACATTTACACTCCTTACTGAAAAAAGCCTGCTTACATGGCTGTGATCAAGAATCATCTGCAGAGCTATAAACTACAAACATTTGCATTATGATCAGCTCTACAAGTTAACTCCTGTTTCCATAGAGTTGGAAAATAGTCCTTTTCAAAGGCAGAGATAACCTGAATGGGTGAGGATAGACAGACCAATCACTAATATTTTATTATATATTTCAACATTTTTCACAAGTTTTTACAAAAGAGTAAAAGGTAATATAAATCCACAAAAGCAAAGAAAGTGGAAGAGAAGACACTAGCCAATGAATGATGGGAAAAAAGTGGAAAAGTGAATATATGAATGGTAACTCAGCAGAATAAGAAAATGGAAACTCATATATATCTAAAAGGTACCAATAAATCTGATTGGAAAAAAAATAAATAAAATCTACCATCCTAACACACACACACACAAAAAAAAAAAAAAAATAAGAAGCAATCTAATTTACCCGCAGAAACGTGCAATCTGAAGCACCAAATGCCCTAAAAGGTAAGAGTGCTGACTGAAAGCAGAAGTATCCACTAACTGCTCATAGAAGGAACAACTATGATCTCAGATTTTCACCTCTCTCCTTCAGAAAATTAACTGCCTACATGACACCCCCCAAAAGTGTGAGTTTACTCTCTACTAACTATGCTTAGTGGACTTACTGGTTCAAGGACACCAGACAGAGGTAGGACCTAAACAGGAAGGCTATGATGGGAGCATAAAAGGCTTAATGCTTTTAAGAAAAAATGACTTATCCTATATGCTTGATTATAGTGAGAGTGATTCTGTAATATATCTGAGACTTTGGAAAGTGCCAGTGAAAGATGTGCACTAGGTTGAAGAATATTGAACTAAAAATATCCAACTGTTTTGTACTACAAAAACCTGAAGCCTCAAGGCCAGCCTGGGCAATTTAGTGAGACTCTATCTCAAAATTTAAAAAAAAAAAATTAAAGAGCTGCAAATGTAGCTCAGTGGTAGAGTGCCCCTGGCTTCAATCCCATGTACCACAAAATAAACAAATAAAACCTGATGCCCTTGTTAACTCCAGGAAAAACAAAGAGTTGACAGGAATGAAAATCTAATCACAGTTAATCATACATCTTAACTACAAATAATATCAAAATTATTAAAATAATAAAAACACTTTATATTGACCTCACCAAATGGTCAAGCCTTGGATGAAGAGTAATTTGATCTGCAAGTGTTCCATAAGATGAGCAAACACTTCGCAGAAATTTGAACTTGATAAACAACTGATGTCTTACAATATGAGTAGTTTGCCATACCAAATGTCTCATGCTCACAACTGATTTCTCTTTCGTTCTCCCTCTCCCTTTCTCTCTCTCTGCTTTGATACATAAGTGCTTTGGATTATGATGAAATGAATTACTCTGGCAAACCAAGGTTTTGCTCTATCTATAGAGTCTACCAAAAAAAAAATACACCCTTCAGCAAAAGAAAAATTTGTATAAATATTTTAATACTAAATATATTGAGACATCACAAGAATAATACAAGTTACCTTTGGCCTCTATAATTATAAAAGATGCTCAAAGTGGTGGCCATTAGCTTCCAAGAATTTATTAGTACAGCAAACTGCTGCTTGGGTCATCTTGGTCATTGAGATTGTTGCACATGCATTTTCAAGTTCTTCTCCAACAGCCAGCAGTATAGTGGGTTCTCTGTAATGTACAACATCCTCTTGGGTCCCCCATACAAAGGTAATACTACTGGCCTTAGTTACCTTTCTCATTGCTGAGACAAAATACCTGACACCCAAAGTCAAAGAGAGAAAGTTTTATTTAGCTCACATTTTGTAGAGTTTTCAGTCCATAATCAGCTGGCTCCAAGGCAGGGTGCACACGGCAGAGGGGCAAAAGTTCCTGGCAGCAGAAGACAGCAAATGCAACAAGACAGCACCCGACAAACCTCTTTCTGTCCCTTATATTATATCCAGTCTACCAAGATTAGGGCAGTAGCAATCCAATCAGTGAGCTGATCCAGCAATCACCAACCCTTGACCCTAGCATCCTTAATCCTTGCATTGCACTACGAATCAATCACACACTCAAGATTTAGCCACCTCCAAAAAAACTCTATGACCACATGAGGTTTTGTGGGGTACATCTAGACACTAACCATAACATCATCTGTTGCAAAAACATCATACTATTTTTCTTTTCCTAAAGTGTGCATACAACTTTTTGGCAGAGAGAGAGACAGAGAGCACCAATAGAATATATATACATATATATATATATATATATGAAGAAAATATTTTTATTTTCTTATATTTGTTTCTTATATTTTTATTCATATGTGTGTGTGTATATATATATATATATACACATATATAGAGAGAGAGAGAGAGAAAGAAAAAGTATTAGTGCAAAATCTTCAATATCCATTGGAAGAATCAAAAGAAAATGTCTAAAATTAATATAACATAGAAAAATGTTATAAGTTTATTATTTAGGAATAAATGTAGAGATGAAGTGCTAGAGAAATAGCTTTTAAAAGAGATAAAAACAGATGCTTCTTGGAGGCAGGAACTTGGAGAGTAGTGGTAGGACAAAAGATTTTTTTATTGGCCTTGTGTAGTACTTTGACTTTTGTAATAACTGCATGCATTGCTTTGACAAAATAGAAAATATTTTTAAAATATGATAAAAAAAGCTAAAAGGCAAACAAAAAGTGGAGGGAAATATTTCAAACAGGAAAGATTAATTTTGGGAAGTAGGAAGAAAATGTTCAAATGGAAAAGGGAGCAAGGGAAGAGAGGGGGAAGGTAAAAGGGAATAAAAGAGAATAGAAGGAAAAAATGGAAACAAAATTCCTATAAATAACAAGGTGAAGAAGGATTGAAGGGAAGAGAAGAGAATGGGGAGAAAAAGAATCAAGATATATTATGTACAGGTACAAATTCCCTATGATGAATGTGATCATTATGTATCTCAAAAGTGTACCAATAAAATTAATTTTAAAAAAATTTTAAATCTCACAACTGACACATAGGAAAGGGATTTTTTTATAAAAGCTTCCTTAATCAATAAAACGACTAGCAACCCAACTTAAAATGAAGAAAGGACATAGAAACACAGCTCACAGGAATAAAAAGAGGTTCACAACGATTTGAAAATATACTCAATACTGATAGTCAACAAAATCCACATTAAAACATCAAAATACGTTTCTACAAACCTAATTGACAAATAGATTCAAATCATTTTGCTAATATGCAAGAATG